TGAAGAATAAATAACCTACATACCTACCTAATGCTTACAGTTTTAATCTTGAGTTTTAATTCTAGTGTTTCGAGTAAGTTTGGTGCTGAAGTAAAAATAAAGTAGGTAAGAGTTAGGGTTTTCCGTATAGTGGGCATAGCCATCGCATGTTCATCATCATCATCATCATCATTTCAGCCATGGACGTCTACTGCTGAACATAGGCCTCCCCCAACGATTTCCACACTGGCCGGTCACATCGTATGTTATACCTAGGTAATACGAATATGTATCATAGTGGATCCGCGGCTGGGGGTTTTGATAGTAATCAGTGATGAAAATCGTCCACGTGTAAACATTATTGGAATGTTGAACTTGAAATCGTTCGAATAAAATAAAATGAATAAATAATATGCTAGGTGATATTGGTAAATCATATTGGGATTGGCTTTTATTTTAGAAACCATCACTTGCAGTGAGAAAAAAACAAACGAATGCTCAAATGCTGACTAAATTATATGCACCTATCTGTCTGTAACCATAGGTTCTATCAACATCGAACTGCAAATGGTCCATATTAGTTCAGTCGCCTAGTCTTAGATTGCGGTCAAATACCTGCCTTGTCTTGCATAAAAAAAATAAAAATATTGTTTATAGAGTGCGCCTACACAATGCGCTACGTACGAAGGTACTGCACTGCACCGCACTGCAAGCTTATTTTGTTGCTGCTGGCTTCCTGTTTTTTTTCGTAACCAACTTACTTAGATGCTAGATCTAATTTTGCATAGATATTACATTTATGTACCTAGTCCTACCTGTTTTTTTTATTACCTACGCAAACAAATGTTTACAAAAGCTCACTGCTCTGTGTATCTGTGCTTTTCATATTGCTGAAAGTATTATTTGGCGGAACTCGTTACACAACTCTTTACAGTGTACATTATTTATTATTTTCATTGATTTTACGATAAAATGCTACAAATTGGAGTAGAGCGTATAAATATTTCTTGATGGTAGAAAATGTATGGAAACATAATTTAAAAGTATCTCGTAAAATGGTACCACATCTACCCATATCCATAATGTGTTACACACCTGTTTTGTGTGGCTTTCACCGCTCATTTAAACAATTCTTGGAAGTTAAATAAGCATTCGTGCTCTTATGGACGTCGCTAGCTAGAGATTCGAGATCGTCCGAGATTCGTTTTAAGATTGCCTATAGGGTGTATTACAGAAGTAGAGTAGGTACTTATTTATTTATTGGCATGAGCTTAACATTTTTAGTTATCTACTTACCTAACTTTGTTTTCAAAACGTAGGTATGACGACTTAACACCCTACTGATGTTATTTAACATCATTGCTACGATACTACTGTTAGGCTGAGTTGCACCCCTTACTTTAACCGTAACTATAACGATAACAGTTGTTTTTTGTATGCAGTTTGACAGACTTTTGAGGTTTGTTTTATTTAAAGTCAGATGATGCAACCCAGCCTTAGTTAATAAGTGTGACCTTTAAAATTGAAAGATTAGGTACTCCAGTAATGAAACCAATTAATCTAGGTAGCACTCATGACCGTTGACTGCCGAGACACTAGACATAGTATAATTTTATTGTTCGAGGTTTACCGGTGGGCCCCGTGACGTCCGACGTGTTAAAATAAAAAAGCTTTTTATTAAGCTCACGTAAGCTTAATAACAGCATTCGGACAATTGTATCAATAAAATGATTTCATATCTATTAAATACACAACAAGAGAAGCTTTACTGAATTTTTGGAAATGAAACTCGTATTACAAATGGCAAAGAGCTTTTACAGAACTAGCTTTTGCCTTCGGCTTCATCCGCGTGAAATTTAGTTTGTCATAGATCGTCATAAATTATAGCCTATATGATATTCTGGGTTATAAACAATAATACTGTAAAGTTTCATCAAAATCCGTTCAGTAGTTCGACTGATTGCAATAACATTGTATCCTATTAAATTATCAGATATTTGTGATGCTGGCTGTACGAATATTCGTATGTCGTCATAGTATTGTAACAATGTTTCTTCCTCTGGCAGCTACTTACGTAAAATTAACATAATTAAATTGACAGATTTGTTATTTGACCTCCGTTTCACGACTTCAGATGAGATCCTGCCTAAAATATGAAACTGTATCACCTGCCACCTTGGTAATACCCAATATAAATATACAGTGTGTCTAGTCACCGGAGTCCGACCCGTTCAGGTGCAGTAGTATGATCAATTTTATCGACAAATCCACTGTAATAAAACATTTTATCCCTACTATTAAAAAATTACAGCTATTTTAATATTTTTAGTTTCTGAGTCCGGGTGGATTCATTTATTTAGCAAAATCTACCGATGTAAAAGACCTATAAGATTAAAAGTGAATTCGTTAGACAGCTAAAAAAGTAAGCAATAAGTTGACATCAAAAAGTTTACCAAAAGCTCCCATTTAAATCTCTTAGACACACTTGTAACGTAGAAAAATAAGTAAAAATTGATGCTTCTTTTTAAAATTGGACCGTAATGAAACTAGAATATGCAATAAATGACATCAAAAAGTTAAAATACCATTAAAATCTTGAGGAAACACTTGAAACATAAAAAAATAAAAATGTTCAATGGTACAAAAAAACTAGACTGTAAACATACCTTTTCTTTCCACTTAGATGATGCTTAGATGCATTTAAGTAACAACTAAGTCATTACATAAAAACCGATGTACCTTAGCTATAAGTCAACTAGTCTAGGTGTTATGCTATGGTGTATTAATTAAAATAGCTGTAATTTTTTAATAGTAGGGATAAAATGTTTTATTACAGTGGATTTGTCGACTAAATTGATCATATTACTGCACCTTAACGGGTCGGACACCGGTGACCAGACACACTGTATTTTGGATTTTTATTATTCTGACTATTATTACTAGTTCACCACTCTATGAATTGGCAATGAAAAGGGCTCGAGAAGAGAGATTACTTGACTACGAGGGAGGAATGGTGTCACAACTACGAGTAAAAAATACAACTTTTTGACCATGTTAGGTCACTTGAAGCTTGAAAAGTACTAAAAAAAGAACGAGGAATAAAAGCATGTTTTGTGCACATACGAGTACAAGGAGACTAAATAAAAATCAAACGAATTATTAAAAAAAAGGCATGTTTATTAATTTAATATTTACAGATCCACTAACGCGTTGATGTTTTTTTAAGGCAAAACATAAACGCGCCGACCAGCGAAAGCTCTAATGTGTTTTACCTGAATGCAGTTAGGAGTATAATGTCTTTGAGTACATAATACTATACATAACATATTTATGTATGTATTTACACGTATATTATACATTCAATCTGTAACTAATTATGCTGTCCTAGTCCAGTCAATAAAGCATTATAAAGGGAAATGCGCGAAACACAATTTCTGACTTCGGAACTTTATTCAGACTAGTTAGGAGGTGAACATAGCAAAAGTCCCCGCCCTTAGCCTTTGAGTCCGCGGGGAGAGGGGGGTTTAAAAGTTTTTCGCTTAATCCTCGGAAACTATGTGTCCTAGTGACATGACTACTATGAACAAAAGCTTATTTTTGCTACAGGTGAGATAGTCAAGTTTTTCTTTATCTCCCTGGAACTAGGCTTTACATGGTTTTTAGGTAATGACTTATTATACCCGCATGTTTAGAATGTTTGCTCAATGTTGATTTAGTCGATTTATTCATGATGAGAACATGTAAGACAAACATTAAAATTTCCAATATTACAGACTTCTAGAGCAGATGCCTCGAAAACTAAACTAGATATAAAAAAACTTGATTGTCTCACCGTAGCAAATTTAATAAGCTTTTTTTGATTCATAGTAGTCATGTCAATAGGACGCATAGTTTCCGAGGATTAAGCGAAAAATCGAAAAATGGTACCTTTAAACCCCCCTAGTCCCCGCCGGCTCAAGGACTAAGGACGGGGACATTTTTGACATTTTCACCTCCTAACTAGTCTGAATAAAGTCCCAAAGTCAGAAATTGTGTTCCACGCATTTCCGTCCGTCGTACTATCGTAATATAATCCTTTTTTTATATCAGTGTGTTTCTTAAAATTATTATTGGGTTGTAATTTTATCGTTTTCATAACTCAGGTTATAGGTACAGGGTTATTTGTAAAACACCAGCAACCTCGCAGGACTAGATGTCTGACATCATAAACAACAATATTCGTTCTGATCAGACGCGAAATATAATTATAAGATCATTTTCTAAATTGACGCTACCAGAAACTAGAACCCACTTCAATGCGATGTTTCTGACCCCTCCTTAGAGATAATATACCATATTTATCCTTGATTTTTTATTTCAATATGAGTAAGAAATCAAAATTCCAATAAGGTCGTGTCATTGGTTATCCATATATTACTTATATTAAGCTGATATCTTGTTGCATGAAAGTCCAATAAGGGAAGTTGCGTAAAGTTGGGCAATTCCAGCGTCGCAGGTCGCAGATTTTGTAACAGCTGTTCGAAGCGATGTCTCGCCATCGCAGGCTCGGCGATCGCCCCGGGCTCTGCTGCCGGCCCCGATGCGATGTCGGTCTTCACGGTATAAAACGAGTACCTATAGACAACTTTAAAATACTGTTAAAGAACGGTAACATTTTTAATTACGTGATTCTTCTATAATATAGAAATGAGAAAACCATATTTTCATTCACCAGACAATATCATAAACATAACAGGTGATACTGAACTGAATCAGTTAGTAAACTTGTAATCGGGAATACCAATCGCTGGGGCTTTCAAAACTTTTGTAGCAAATGGAAAGTTTTCCAATAACGTCGAGCGGCTAAGACACCCTGGGCAACGTCCTCGGATAGGAGGGCCAGCATGTACGGAAGATAAATTCGTCGTTTTGGTGCGTGGTGGGCGCGGGGTGCGCGGGGGGCGCGGCGCGGCGCCGGCGCGCGGAGGCTGCTGCGCTCAGAGCACCTGCGCCCGCGCTCCGAAGCGCCGCTCGCCGCGTGCCAGTCCCGCGCCGCGCACCGCCCGCGCCGCGACGCCGCCCACGGTATGTCAGACGCCGCTGGCGCGTCGGGGTCGGCCGGCAGCGCGCCCGCCACTGCGCCGCGCCGCTGCTGGCGCGCTGGCCTGGCCGCCCGGCCGGTTTTGTAATTTCGCCGGGCGGGCTGTGACGTCACGATACTAGTTTGACATGCGTGACGGTTCGCAACAGGACGCCAAAGCCGTTGCCGCCCCCGACCCCAGTGCTAGTGGAATGATGTGCTCGTTTTTCCAGTAGGAAAGTTTATAAGAGTGAATATTGTACACGACTCGTTATGTCATCTGTATAGGTTATGTTATGATGTTTGTTTTGTTTATATCCTTTGTTGTAGCTTGTCCCTAACCGAGGATTCTTATAGGTTGAAATGAAGTTTATTGGTGAATCGTTAAGTTTAAAACTGACAGACTCCATTCCAATACGTGCTACGTAACTGTGTAAGGCTTCATCCGCGCGTATGGACAGGGAAACACACACTGACAGTTCCCGCGTGTGTTTGTCTCGTATGAATATGTTCGGCGAGCTCGACGTGTCGAAGTGTGAGTGTACACGGACAGCCAGGCTCAGCGGCGAAGCCTTTTTGTAATTTTGTTTTTCCTCTTGCTGAGAGGGAATGGTGCAGGCTCGGAATCAACAAAGACGTCATCTGTATTTTCGAATCAAATTAGATTCCATTTAGAACGCGATTGTATGTTTCTGAAGTTGTTTCTGTTGAGATTATACTAGAATACTGAAATAAATGTAAACTGTTCTTTTGTAGTTGAAAGGCTGAATATTTACTGAATTAGGTAATAATAAATGCCCTTTTTGTTTGATGTAAGGTTATATAACTACTTAGAATGTTAGAAATGGTTGTAATTTAAACTACTTGTACTTAAAGGAAGTCACTATCTATTATCTTCTAAGATGATGATAGTCATATATTTCTCTAATTGGCTTTAAATGATGAGTAGGTATGATTACTTAGATTACTGATTTATCATGCTAGTTAACTAAATGCAAGTGTTTCCATGTTTTGTAGAGTTCAATACAGACAAAGAAGATTTTTAAATCGTGAAATTCCTTAATGTACAGGATTAATACTGGTCTCGAGAAACTGATTATCTCTCGCTCGCGCTATTACCATTACGGTATTACTGTCCTTGTCACACGTTCGCGTGAACCTCAGCCTCCGTAGCAAGCTATCGATCGAAGGCAGTCTCTCTGTACGGCTTCTGAAGCAATAATGCAAGTTCTTTTTGTTTTTTTTTGTGAAACAAGAACGAATGCTTACGTTGCATTCGAGTATCTGAACAAAATAACATTTTGATGATTATCGGCCGATCGTGGTTTCGTAATTAGCTAACGAACTTGCGATTAATTACGAATGCGTAATAGAAATACCTATAATTTTCCTTGTGCGTGGCGACGAAATTTGAGTATTTTTACGCTATTTGGAGTTGTATGTTTTTGGTTGCATAGTGAGTAGTGGTTGAATGTTATGGTATGGTCCAGCGACAAGTTTGGCAGGCACGTGGGTTTGGGTACCAGTTTGCGAGGAGCCCGTGCGTCGGAGCAGGGTGGTTTGTGAACGAGTTCGGGCGCTTCTCGCCGATCAGGTGCCACTCGATACTTGTTCTTTTCTAACTGGATTTAAATCAGCTGTTAGTTCGACGTCCTTGGCTTAAATAATACTCTTTCATATTATAACTGGTCTTCCACTTAACTTCAGCAGCGATACAATACAGGGTAGCGTCTGTACAATCCTCGGTGTTCGTTCATCGATTTATGTTATAAAGCTTAAATAACAGCGTTACATGTTAATGTTATTGTTATTTTGTCTATTAATAGTGACTATACCTACCTACCATCGAATAGTAAACTTTATGAACTGATCTTAAAGAAAAAGATTATGCGACTCTACTATCTGATACTTTCTGAATGTCGTAATTTGTAGATAACAGTGATCGTCTAATTGGCATGTTCATTTCTCACTCTAATGAATTTAAGACAGCGATCGTTGTTTGATAACTTTTGACAAGTTACGTAAATTATATTTTGAGTTGTTATTTGTTTTAGGAGCTACCAATTACTTTTAACTTTTCTGGTTAGAATTTATTATTGGTAAGCACTTTTGTCTATAGGCTTTAATCTATTCAGTATTAGTTGCTGCTAGCCGCCCTAGTGTACGGTAGTGCATATTTAAAAAGTTAGGCTGTCTTGATCTTGAGATTTTGGATTGATTTCCGAGTAGAACTCACTTGTAAATCAATTTATATAGTTTTTACCACATTTCTTTACGACATTTCTGTCTTAGTAAAATTTTCTGAAGGAAGAGCCCCATCTCTTCTTTAGAGAGATACGAGGAGAGAAAAGAACACTGGTGCTAATGAGCATAACGAAAATAAACCATGTTCGAAAAAGGGAAACTTTTAATTGGCATAATACTTATTATCTTGAGGGTTGAACGAGTAAATTTTTCATTGACATTGACAAGCTTAAAACATGAGATTTTATTTATTTATTTATTTATTTATTTATTATTCATTATTGAGCAATTACATATTTGATCCAAATAGCGTCCTAAATCCTTTTTAGGTTTGTCTAGACACTATTGTTCTCTATACAAATAAAAACAAACGTTTTAGTATAAGCATTCACAACACTTTCAGATATACAAAATATTATTTTAGATTGATATGTATCTTTATGTGATTCCAGATATAAATATTCGGGGGAGTCGAGTGTTGAGCGGGGTGCTCCTAAACGGAGCCTCCGCCCGCACAAAGACGTCGCCGACAGCGTCGAGGTACGNTCTGCGGTCTATGTCATGATACGGGGGGGTGGGGGGTGCGATTGTCTTTCAATCTTCGAATCGGTAGGTAACCCCAAAATCCTGGGGGGTACCAGGGGGTGTCATAGGACTTGTGACGGGGGGAGGGGGGGGGGGGTTATCGCCCCGGGTGCCGACCCATGCTACGCCGCCACTGTACGTAAATTATATTTTGAGTTGTGAGATAGTTGTTATTTGTTTTAGGAGCTACCAATTACTTTTAACTTTTCTGGTTAGAATTTATTATTGGTAAGCACTTTTGTTTATAGGCTTAAATGTATTCAGTATTAGTTGCTGCTAGCTGCCCTAGTGTATGTAGTACATATTTAAAAAGTTAGGCTGTCTTGATCTTGTGATATTGGATTGATTTCCGAGTAGAACTCACTTGTAAATCAATTTGAATAGTTTTTACCAGTTTCTTTACAACATTTCTGTCTTAGTCAAATTTTTTGAAAGGAGAGATGGGGATACGACGAGAGAAAAGAACACTGGTGCTAATGAGCATAACGAAAATAAACCATGTTTAAAATTCATAAAATTAAAAAATTAAAATAAATTAAAATTCATAAAATTCATTTATTTTTGCAAATAGGCTTTAAAAAAGCGCTTTTACACGTCCCAATATTAACCCTACCACTGCTTCGGGACAATAAATGGGCCAGTGCTGAGAAGAAGCAATACTGAAAAAGGAATACTGTTATTGGCATAATATTATCTTGAGGGTTGAACGAGTACATTTTTCATTGACATTGACAAGCTTGAAACATGAGATTGATATGAGTATCTTTATGTGATTCCAGATATAAATATTCGGGGGAGTCGAGTGTTGAGCGGGGTGCTCCTAAACGGAGCCTCCGCCCGCACAAAGACGTCGCCGACAGCGTCGAGGTACGGCGTGATGTCGTCGCCGCCGCCGGCGCCCGCGGCCGACGAGCGCCGCAGCCCGCGCTCGCCCGCGTCCGCGCCGCGCTCGCCCGCGCCCGCGCACGCCGTGCTCGCCACCATGACGCCCGTGCAGCCCGCGCACGACTACTACCCGCCCCACAAGGTCGAGATCGACTCCGACGACGGGTACCCCCCCGAGGCCCACTCCTACCGACACTCGCCCCACGAACTCGCCGCCTACGCCCCCGACAACAAAGTCCCCGTCCAGCCGGACGTCTACGACCAGGGCATGGAGTCCATAGACGAGAAGACGCCCATCGATCTCATTTACGAAGACGACAAGCAGACCGTGATCTACACCACGACGCCGGACCAGAAGCGCGTCGAGATGATAAGCGGCCAGCTGGACGACGGCCAGCTCGTGAGCGGCGGCGGGCAGCTGGTGGACGGCGGCGTGTCCGTGGTGGTGGGGCCGCCCGGGCAGGGCCAGACGGTGCTGGTCATCGCCGACCACGTGGTGGACGAGCTCGGGCAGGTCATCGCGATACCCAGGTAAATTGAAAGTATTTAATGTATTCCCAAACCGTTCGACGTTATTTTATCTTGTGTCGAAAAATAACACCGTGAGAATAATTTATTATCGATTTTATTGGCTTGTTATTTAAGAGCTGAATTTTAAATTGCTCCGTTGCCAGGTGTCTCTGAATTTGATAGTGGGAAATTCCATCTCCATTATATGAATAAAGAATGTAAGGTATTTATTTTATTGATATTAAAATACAAAGTTTTATAATGATGGCATATTCTTAGGTAGGTACCTTCTTACTAGGTAACTTGTATTTTCACCATAATTATGATTTGGAACAAACAACAAACAAGTTGGAACTACTTGGCAGAATAAATTAGGAATCTATTTGGTATTACTTAATATTACCGACACACAAACGAACGCTCTATTAATTTTGTGTGAGCCTGCTGAGTATATTAATTACCTTTTGATCTGGTACAAACTAATGGCACCTAATTACTCAAATTATTATGTCAGTGGTTTGGCACCTCGTAAGGCTGAATGTAACAACGCATTGTTTGTACAAGTGAGTGTTGTGTGCTCATGTAGTTTGAGGAATGAGGTGTTTGCCGGAGTAGAGGTAGAGGTCCAGTAGTGTAACGGTTGTGCGCTGGGAGCGGCGCGTGTGGGCGGAGCGACGCGCTCACCTTGAACTTGCCGCGAGAGCTGCGCCCGCGCCGCAGCCGCCAGCGCTCGCCGTCCGCCACGGGTTGCCAAAACCCACTTGTTTCAGGGAATATTCCGGAATCACATGTTCCGTTTTTACCACTCCAAACATGAAAAAGAACAAAACAGGTTCATATTATTCCTTTGTTTACAAGACACGGATTTATGGTTCTCGTGAGTTATGACAAGAAACACTCCCACTACCTACATTTAAGACTGAACTTTCTTTTAAAAATAATGATATGATCGATCGAATCGATTGGTAATTTATGCATTATACTGTAGATTCATTAAGAAGTAAATGGTATGTTATTCCATACGTTATGCGCTTTTATTTTGTCGTTATCTTTTGTATGTGGTGACCCTACACTCGCGCCGGACACCATACGATCACATTTCGATGCTGTGATGTAGTCAACTGCCATTATACGAGTATCTATCTAGCTATTCGTTTTCTATCATAAACTAATCGGTTACTTTTATACTGAGAGCTGTAGAATATCAAATTCTTTTAGTTTGTAGAAAAAACATGCGTTTGACTCTCACACACATAATGTCTGACATAACTATGTTTTGGGTTATGTTATGGTTTGTTCCAACATGTTGAATATTTCAAGTTTATTTTGAAGGAATTGGTTCTATGGGGTCAGGTCAGACAATTCAAATTGTGCACTTTCCAGAATGTATTGTGTGCTATTATAAGCGTGTATCGGTACATTGTTGAGGCTTGAGATACAACGTTGTCTAGGGGTCGCGCGGTCACTGTCAGCTTTCTAGTTTGGTCCTCTGACTTGAGAGATACCTCCGGTTATAATTGAACGCCTAAGAGAACTGTGGGAGAGTACGTAACATGTCTAGTAATATTATATGATGTCGTTTCGATTACTGCTGCAATATGCGAGCGCATAAACACGATGTTGTGTTGCAAAAACTAACCACGTGCATGTCATTCAAATAGCATGACGTCGATATATCCTACGTGTACGTAGAGTGTAGTAAAATTAGTTACGTCTGTTTACCGCCCAGACGAGTTCTGCCGGTGGCTTCTATTCAAGTTGACGCGCTCCACGCTCGTTCATTCGGTTATTGTTACATTCATAATGGACTGCACTTAAATCGTGCGATGTGATTTGTGGTTTAGAGTTTGAGATCTCGTTATATTTCATTTAATTGATTACTTAAATTACTTTGTTTATTTATATCTTATCTAAGTACCTATGTGTAAATATTTTATTATACGAGTATAGTTAGTATGCAAGTAAGCATATTATATTTATTTGACTTGAGTGACCTCTGTCGATACATCTTTACTTTTTGGGATGATAGAGATAGTATCTGTTGGCCGTCTATTTCATTGTTTTAGAATAATTAGGTACCTAAAATAACAAATATAAATAAACTAATATACTTAGTTAGACACCTAAACCGCAGTTTCTGAATTGAGATTTAAAGCTTAATATGAAAAGTTCGTATTTAAGTAGAAAATGAGCACGCTAAAGCTAAAAACTTCAATTCAGAAACCAGGCCTAAGTTCTTAATTTTTTTTTTAATTATGTTCTATAGATTATTCAACAAAACATAGTATTGTCTAGGCATAAAAAGGTTGATAACGGTTTTGTTCAGAGAAATAAGTACATACGAGTATTACATGTCGTAAAACATTTTGGTACTTAGTAGGCATACTCGTAGAGGCACGCGATGAAATATGAATAAGATTGCTCACAATCAATAGGTATGCAAATTAATTTCTAACATCTATATTATAAATAGTACCTACAACTGATATCCGTAACAACTTTAACCATTGTAACACATTTTAACCGTAGTGAATATACGAGGTTCGTTTTAGAGAAATGATAATTATAATATGTATAATGAAAATAATGCATCATTTTACGTTTTCTAATAATGAAAATGAATGATTACAGCACAGGTTTTAAGTTGTAAATACAAAACCTCCGGCTGATCGTTTAGGAGGTGCGTGGAGGCTGCAGCGGTCGCGCCGCGCCTCCAACTCTTTAATGATGGCTTTTTGTTGGGACGCGGCCCAAGTGATAATCGAGCCGCTGAAGAAAGCACAAATATACACATAAATTTATTAAAAATCACGATATTTGTAAATAATTTGTTACAGATTTTTCGTAGCAACTTTCGTAGCACACTACTACGAAACATACGAGCACAAGAAATCTTTGCTATTCTATTAAATCTTTAAACGATGTTTTTAATACATAAAATAGTTTTATGAATGTAAAGAAATGAAATGTTAACAGTGTTAATGGTATATATGTATATAAAAAAGAAATTACGATTTTAAGCGAGGAGATAGGTACGTACGAGTAGGTAGTCAAAATTGATATTATGGTGTATTTATCTAATCTACGAGTAGGATTATCGTTAGGTACATAATTCGACTTCAGTTCCATTCATAAACGTATTCATAACGATGGAGTTTAATTTAGAATATTACTATTCATAATTTACTAAAATAGCTATTATTTGAAATCATACATTTTAAACAATAGAATATATTTGAATGAGCCAGTAAGTTGCGATTCTTATCGCTCTTGATAGTTTGGTAGTTACATCATTACGTATCTATAAATATACTACGATTTATTGTGTTGGCAGACATCATAATAGAAATTAAATTGCCTTGGACCTCGTGTGAATTAAATTATCTAAAAATATGCTATTACGTACTGTGCGTTTTTAAATAATAGTTTGTATCTTCGTATTGTTATTTTTGGGGGTTTATACAAATATGTATTGAATGAGTTTTGTATTACAGCAATTGAAATGAGTGAAAGTAGGTATCAATATCAATCGAGTTTTGTTTAGACAAATACCTTCATACGGCTAATTCGGTTAAAATTTCTTATGTACTAAACATATTATTATTGGTTTGATAAGATGCGGAGTCCGCCGCTGCCGCCCGTCCCGCGGCCGCCCCCCACACAGCCTTATTTTACTGCCTCGCCCGCCGAGCCCTCGAGATGCGCGCGACCATCGCTTCGGTTCTCGCCCCAATCATTATTATTTAATGTAATTATTTGGCCAGTAAACCGCTTTTTTTGGAAATCATAACAGTTATATACACTTTTTATCTGTCGGCACCAGCTTTAGTGGACTCTTTGTGGCGTCGTATCAATTTCGTTCAGTTTCTTGCCTTTGTATTATATTTTTGAATTTTCGTCGGATAATGTATGAGTTTGCCTCTAAAATCGAGGTAGTATAATGTTCTGATAAAAATTTTATAATTTTCTCAGAGGTTTTATTAACTAAATTTATTCAAAACGATTGCGAAATATGAAAGATGGGGTCAATAAACTCGTGAAAGCGCGAGGCATTAAAGCCCTTAGCAAAAGACATCAACGGGCGCTCGGCTACTCCCGAAGCGCGCCCGCCGCGCCGCGCGCCGTGTGGGAGTTAATCCGTTGCTGACGTCATTTATTACACGCGCATTCCTCCGCTAATATTCAAATTATTCATAAACCAACCAGCGAACGATAAATTCCGTCGACTGATATATTTTCTTAGAACACGTGATAATATTCACAAACCGCGTGTAGCCGAGAGTTCCAAAAGATCACATTTAGATGTCAAGAAGTCAACAGTGACCGTATAAACACAAAGTTCATTGTGTCCTCTAAAAATTAACGATCATCCTTTCTACCTGATGCCGCTGTCCGAGTGCAAATAAAAAACGGTTTCCCCACGTAAAGGGTTCACTTCCCATCACAAGGAGGTATAGGTGCGAGCGATCGTACACGCACGCACACATGGAAGCTCCATCGATGGAACTTTAAGACTGATTCACACCACTACGAGAGCGAACAAATATTATGTTATGTAGGTACCTATAACAAAATCGATAAACAAAAACGATGAAAATATTTTGACCACTGTCAGTCGATACTTAAAACTATATTTAAGACGACAAAATTAATTGCGCTGATTTACAAAATTACTTATTATATTCAGATTTACTTTATTTACTGATGGTAAAAATAGTATGAAGAAGAAATTGTTGTAATTTTTCGTTAAATATCATAAGCATCGTACTTACGTTCTTCTTTGTTTATTATATGTTGTGTAATCAGGCTTTAGGCACCGACAGCATCCAATCGTCCGAAGCAAATCTCGGCGGGGGATAAAATTTCTTTCGATCGTAAGAACACTGTGGATCGCGGAGCCTTATTGTAAGTCGGAGGTCTCCTTTGATCTACGTTTCGTAATTCCAAGAAACAAACCACAAAGTTCAAGACTAGTCTAGTAAAAACTTCTACAAAACAAGATTAACTTCGTTGGGGACAGA